TGCTGCCCCCCTTGTTCTGTGGAGTGTCATTCTGTCACCCAGGCCGGAGTGCAATGGCACAATCTTCACTCACTACAATCTCTGCCACCCGTGTTCAAGTGATTCTCCTGCCTCAGCCTGCCGAGTAGCTGGGACTACAGGCATGTGCCACCACGCCTGGCTAATTTTTTTGCATTTTTAGTAGAGACGGGGTTTCAGGCTGGTCTCGATCTCCTGACCTCAAACGATGTGCCCACCTCAGCCTCCCAAAGCGCTGGGATTACAGGCATGAGCCACCGCACGTGGCCTGCTGCCCCATTTTTTACCACTGCCCGGGACCTGGGCTGTGGGTGCTGCTGACCTCTCACCTGCATTCCCAGGAAGCTCTCGGTGCCAGGCAGCTGCCGGGCCCCCTCCGTGTGGGTGACGGCGCGGAGGCAGAGCAGCCAGTGGCTGTAGTCCTCGTAGCTGGAGCATATCACTCGGATGGTGTTGATGAGGGGACCTGGCACACCGACACTGTGAGGGGCTGGCAGGGCGGGGTGTACCCTCAGCGCCCCTCTAGAGAGCTGGGGCATCCACCAGGCTCCCACTGCCACCCTGGCCTGGCTGGCGGGAGGCAGCCTCGGGGGAGGGCCCACCTTCGATCAGGAAGGAGCGGATCTGCTTCTCCTTCTCCTCCAGGTTGATGTGGATGGCGCGGAGCGGGAGCTCCCCCTGTGGGGGCAGAGCAAGGGGCAGGTCTTTGTGGGGCAGCCCCTGGGCCCCCCCCCGGTCTCATCCCACCCTCTTGCCCACCAGAGCTTGGCTGGGCACTTGGAGAGCCAGGCACTGAGGCCACCACCCTGAGAGAGGCCAGTGGGTCCCATCTGTCCTGGGGCGACCGCCAACCCTCGGGGGGGCTTCGCCAGCTGGGACTTACACACGAAGCCACAGCACTGGGCTCCTAGGGTCCCTGGAGCAGTTGGGGCAGGGGAACCACAGGAGGCCCTGTGCATTCGTCCCTCAGGCACACCGTGTGTGCACCCCATACTCCCGCCTCGGAGGGCATGCACACACATGTGAACACACACACCAGACCGTCCCAGGAGTGGCTATCACTCCCATGCTGCCCGGCCCAGGGTGACGGTTGGCTGGGTCTGAGAACCTCAGGATGGGCTGGGAGGCAGGGCAGGGGCTCCATGTCACGGCGGAGACCAGACTGACCAGGACAGCGGGCCGGGTGGGCAGGGCCCCACGCTCTGTCTCAACAGGCCCCGAAATACAGGTTCCTCCTGCATGGCCGCCCCCTCCCACCCCCACACAGGTGCCTCCCTGGGGCGGGTCCACAGCGGGGAGGGGCCCACCTTGAAGCAAAGCCCGTCCGGCTCCTCAGAGAAAATGGCCAGGGACGTCGGGTACAGGACCAAGAGCCGGTCCCATTGCTCCTGAGTGGGGGATCAAACAAGGGGCAGCTGAGATGCTGGGTACCCAGGGCCGGCCCCCCACCCTGCCCCCAACCCTGCCCCCCTCCCCGCCCTCCACCCTGCCCCCAACCCTACCCCCCTGCCCCCCTCCCTGCCCCCCACCTTGCCCCCCACCCTGCACCCCTCCCATCCCCTACAGCCCCACACACCTCCCACCCACCTGTGCGGGCAGGTGCTGCAGCTTGACCCTCGAGGCACAGATGGCGCTGCCGCTGGGTTCGTGCCCTGACGCCGTCCGCAGCCGGGTGAGACAGCCCTGGAGAGTCCAGGGTAGCTCCTCTCCGGGGGGCCCCTGTGAGGAGGCAGTCAGAGCAGGCTTCGAGGATCAGGGCGGGGAGGGCTGTGGGGTCCCTGGCACTGACCTGTGGGGGTGCCCAGTGGCAGTGCCGCAGCCCCCCGAGGAGGGCCATCTGCTTCTCCAGGTGGTAGAGCCAGCAGTCCAGCTCGGCCCGGCCGGGGCAGAGCACCAGGAGGGGTGCGGGCAGCGGGCCTGCGGGTGGTCAGAGAGGGCACAGGTATGCACACACACTCGGCAGCAGGCAGGCAGGCTCCTCTCCGAGGCCTGGTCAGGGGTGCGTCTGGGGGCCCGGTCAGCATCCCACACACCTGTGATCTCGAAGGCGTGCTCTTGGGACCCCTTGAATGCACGGATGCTCAGCTCCGTCAGTGGTAGCAGCCCCTGCCGGGCACAGGATAGGAGGGCCTTCAGGGATCCAGGGAGAGATGGACGGCCATGGCTCCCCAGCCCCTGCTGCCCACCGCCTCACCTGAAGTGTGAGTCCTTCAGAGCCGTGAGCCTGGAAGTAGAGGTGGGCGGGGAACAGCTCCAGATAGCAGTCGCTGACATCCTGCACAGGGAGCAGGGTGGTCAGTGGAGGGTCTGGGGAGCAGGTCCCAGGTGGGTGGGGATGCTGGACGCTGAGTGCACCCCGCCCACCTGGCCACACCTGGCTGTGCTGGAACCGCAGCTGGACCTTGGCATAGTGCACCACCTTTCCCAGGTTCCTCACGGGGACCCTCCGCCGCCCCTTCTTGAACACACTCAGGAATGGCTGCTCCGCGTTTTCTCGCTGGGTTTCCAGGTCCAGGATGTCCTAGGAGGAGCAGAACTCAGGGGAGGGGCCTGGCCTGGGCTCCCCACACCCTCATTGACGTCCACACAGCTACATGACAACAGGCAGGGTCTGCCTGTGCACAGCCAAACATCTATGCAAAGATCGCAGCCCCACGTGCACAGAGCCCTGCACGCTCACAGCCTCTCCACAGGAAAAGTCATGGCAGAACTTGCACACACACACATGCATATATGCCCACACACATACATCACACACACAATATGTGCACATACAGGCATACACAATACGTGCATGCACATGCACACATATATGCATGCATACACACAGGCATGCATCACACGTGCACACACACGTGCACACACAAATGCACACATGGACATATGGACACATGTGCATACACAGTACACATCCATGCACAAATACATGCATGCATGCACACATATGCAAACATATGCGGTGCACACATATGCAGCTGTACATGTGCAGATGTGCATACACACACGCACATATGCACATTGCGCACACACACACATTTGTGCACACATACATTCACGTACACGCATACGCACACACACACAGACGCGCTTCCCCGCACAGAGCTGCCTGGTGTAGTGGGAGAGATGCGATGGTGAGATTTGGACTCAGTGGATTAAACCCTATCTTCACCCTTTCCTAAAACGTGTAATATGGCTTGGATTATTCAGCCTCTGAAGACTCGTTAAAAGAATTTGGGGTGTCTGGGGGAAGTGACACCTACAACCCTCTCACGTCTGCAGTATTGGCTGGGACACGTTTAGCACCTGGTTTTACAAACACACACACACACACACCAAGGACCTGATTAATGTTTGCCAATTTCCTCAGTATAAATGTTCCCACTGCCACCCATTTCCAGCCCCCAGCCTGAGAGAAAGATATGAGATTTCCAGTGTCCATCCCCCGGGCGTGTGCCGGTCGCCCCCCAAGCTTCACTCGGTGACAGCCGGGTCCCGGCAGTGCCCCGAGGGGTCTCCTCACATCAGGCCCAAGCTCTTCGGGACCACTCAGCCCTAACCCTCCTCACCCGCTTTGCAGCTTTGCTCAGACATCACCTGTTCTAAGAGGCCCTCTTCTGAAAGTCCCCGATCCTCTGCACCTGGTCCCTCTACCTTTCTCCTTAGCGCTGACCCCACCCCGCTTCTGTATCTTCTGTTTTTGTCTCATCATCTGTCTCTGCTGTGGGGATGAGAGCACCAGAAGAACAGGGGTTTTTGCCTATCTTGTTCACTGCTGTGTCCCCAGATCCTAAGACGGGGCCTGGGATGTGTTGTGGGCATCAATGCCGAGAGGGGCGGGGAATCTATGTCCACCCACATTTAGCCAGTCCCAGCACACAGAGTCCTCTACAGATGGAGGCTGGGATCACCAGGTTAGGGGTCAGAAAGGGCATGGGCATGAACCTGGGGCTGGAGAGCTTTGTGACCCATCCACAGGCTCAGGGGCAAGTGCGTAGGTGTCCTGCTCCCTCTAGGAGCTGCCAAGGGCTACCTGCAGGGCTGCTGTGCCCTGGCCAAGCTTAGCTGCCCCTGAGCAGGCCCAGGAATGTGAACAGACAGATGCGTGGCTTCCCCGGCCTCCTGCCTCTGGGTGGGGCCTCCTGTACCCACACCCGGCATGGGAACTGATGTCGGGTTGGCACCCATGAAAAACAGGCCACAAACCAGGAAGGGCCACACAGCTGGTCCTGCAGCCCAGCTCAGCCTTGGGGCCCTGGGTAGGACGCAGCCTGGAGCAGTGGCAGGGCCGGTTCACAGCACGGTAGCAGAGCCAGGCGCAGGCCAGAGATGCACGGCTCTAGGACCGACCCAGAACTCCTCCCCCAGCCCCATCTTCTGAGGGTCAGCAGCAGGTCTTTCCCTCTCCGGCTACAATGTCCCAGCAAGGGAGGACCACCAGGGTCACCACACGTCATAGGACCCCACCAGGGTCACGCTGCACATCCTGGGCCTGGACAGAGGGAGTGTGGTGCCTCAGATGCAGCCAGAGACCCCCAACCCTGACCCAGCCCGGTTCTGCTCCCTGCCCCCACCTTTGAGGTGGCATGTTTCCGAAGCCTGCCCCCGTCTGCAGGGTGTCCTGAAGCTCTGGGGGTCAGGAGAGGCTATGGCACAAACTTCCTGCCTGGTGAGCCATGCTGGCAAGGAATCTGCACAGCTGCACCAGCTGCTGGACCCAGGTGCAGGGCAGAGGTCCTCCCCCAGATGCCCCTGGGGCCCACACACAGCAGAGCCCACCCATCCAGGCTGCCCGAAGGGGCCGCATCGGGGATTCCTGTCTGCCCTGAAGCCCAAGTTCCTCCTCCTGCTCCCTCAACCCAACACTGGCCGCATCACAAAGGGGCTGGGTGTCTGTACCCTGTGAAGACCCTCAGTACCCCGGGCCCGGCAGGGTGGGCGCGGGGGAGTTTACGCTCCTTCCATGGCGAGGTGGCCACGTGTGGGCCTGGGAGATGCCTCCTTGCTGCGAGGCCTTGGCAGGCTGGGAGAAGGCCCGCGCAGCGCGCACAGCTGCTGTGGACCAGGCGGCCGGCCAGCAGCAACTTCCTGAGAGACGCCCGTGGGGAAACTGAGGCTGGTGTAGGTGACCAGAGGGCTCACTGCTCTTCTGAGGTCCCTTACTCTCCAGGAACACTACCAGCACGACCCCAGCCCCACGGCAGCGGCCGAGAGGCCCACACTGGTCCCCTGGCCGGTCTCGGGGGCCCCGCCCAGCCCGCCCCGCCCAGCTCGCTCCACTGACTCAGTCTTGGTTTCGCTCTCCACTCAGACTTTCGGCCGGATGAGCTCTGGCCAGATGAGCTCGCCGGGGCGGGGCTGTTCCTCACCTGCGGGGGTCTGACTCCCTCAGGCCGCACACGCACGGGCAGAGCCGTTCCCCCCCGCAGCTCACCGTGCCCGGGACGTAGTGGAAGATCTTGGCGGCGGCGGTGTCCCCGCTCCCAGCGGCCTCGGGGCCCAGCAGGACGGCCGGCTTCCGAGCATTGTCCTCTCTGGGGACGAGGGCAGGGCTCACCGGCTGGACCTGGAGCAGGTGGAGGAGCCCCGCGCCCAGGTGGCCGCGCCCACGCCCCTCACCTGTTTCCCTTCAGCGAGGGCTTCCTGGAGAAGGAGACCCGGAGCCTCCTGGGGGCCTGCGGGACGCAGTGGCTGTTCCCCATGGCCGAGTCTCGTCGGCAGGTCTGGGTCCCTGTCCACAGCCTTCTGCCGCCGCCTCCCTCGGGCAGGCGGGGCTGAGGGACGTCCTGCTGGCACCGAGGGCTGGGCCAGGGTGGAGCCTTTCTGGAAAGGGCCCGGCCCTACCTGAGCCGTCGGTCTCTGCCCTGGGCCCTCCACACCGAGAGGCCAGCCTTGGGGCGAGCACGTCTCTGGCCCAGACGAGGGCTCCAGCGTGCAGGGAGCACTTGGCTTGGTGAACCCTGGCCGCCCCCACCAACCATGTGGGCACACATCCTGCTTCCATCTACAACCTGGCCGGCCTCAGTCACCAGTGACTGCACAGAAGCCTGAGGCAGGAGTTCCAGCAAGGAGACGGCAGCGAGAGCCACCCCAGCCTCTCCTCCTCACCACAGGCCCGAGTGAGGATCCCCAAGGTTTAAGGGGACCCAGAAGGCCACATGCCCTCCAGGCGACCAGGACAGTCGGGGTACACAGGGGCAATGCTGTCCCGCCTAGCCCCACCCCCAGACCTCGGCCTCAGGACCCAGCCCCGGCAAACCCCACTCACAGCTGGGGACCGGCCACAAGGACTCCATGGCCCCAAGCCTCCCCCATGCACAGCTCTGCCTTGCAGCCCTCAGAGGCCCCACACCCCGAACCCCAAACAGGACCCAAGTTGTGCAGGTGCCCCACAAGCCAGAGAGAGATGCTCGGCCTCAGGCCTGAGGAGCCCAAGAAATGTATTTATTGTTCAAGTTGGCTTGTATTGCTGTGTAGGGTCCGTATGCACGTGTGTGCCCGCGACAAGATCCAGGGAAGATGGCACGCGGCCGACAGGACCCTGCTCCCCATCCTTCCCAGGACCCCCGTGTGCAAGTGAGAACCGTGTGCAAAACTTGAGCTGGGTCTGCAGCGGCTTGGAAGGCTCCAGGACCTTGTGCTCCTGGCCTGCAGGGTCTCAGCAGGTGGCAGCCCCGGGCCAACGAGCCCCTAACCCGTCATTCCCTGCTGCCTCCAGGCAGGGAGTGGATGGGAGGGCACAGAGAACCAGACGCTGAAGGCGTGAAGGAGTGGCCGCAGCACTGCTCAGCCCTCAATAAATACGTAAATAAACAACTAAACAGACAAAAAGGAACGGACGGGTGATGCGACAGACGGCGCGGGACGTCCCTGGTGGGGGCCGTGGCCCCCTTAAGGCATGTGGGAGGCCGCGGGCCTCTGGCGGTGGTTGGGTCAGAGGCTGGTGGAGGACACGGAGAGCGTGGGCGAGGACGGCGGCGGGAAGTGGAGCAGCTCCAGCACCGCCACGCCCACACTGCTTCGCCGCGTGAACATGCAGGAGGCGGCCACCCACTTGTTGGCCCTCGGGTTGTACTTCTCGATGGAGTTGAGGCTGGAGCTGCCATCGTTGCCCCCGACCGCATACAGCCAGCCATCCATGGCCACCAGGTCGTGTGTGCTCCTGGGGGGCAGGCGGGGTGAGACCCAGGCGGCAGGAAGGGAGGAGGGGAGGGGTCGCGCCATGAGGAGGGGCAGGGTGGGACGTGCCCGCTGAGGTGGCGAGAACCCCTCCCCGCAGGACGCCCCGCCACGGACCTGCGGATGTTCATCGGTGCCACGCTCTCCCAGGCGCCGGCCTTGGGGCTGTATCTCTCCACCGAGTTGAGGCAGCTGGTGCCATCGTTGCCCCCTGCCACGTACAGGGCACCCTCCAGCACGGCCACGCCTGCCGAGCTACGCCGGCTCAGCATGGACGCCACAGGCGACCACACGTTCACCTGGGGGTGAGGGCGCGGGCTGGAGGCAGACCCGCCATGGGCATCCCTCCCCTGCTGCAGCCCCTATTCCAAGGGTGGGTGTCAGGGACGGGTGGGATGTGGGTGACCGCAGGGCACACAGCCCGCAGCACCCGGAAGTGGGGGCCGGGAGGGGTGCGCTATGCACCTGGGGCTCGTACTTCTCCACAGTGGCCAGGTGAGAGGAGCTGTCATAACCGCCCACGGCGTACAGGTTCCCATCTGCAGAAAGCCGACACACCCATGGCACTCGGCTGTGAGTGGGGTCTCCAGGGTGGGGGAAGATGGGGATGCCCCCAAGACAGAACCCGTCACCCACCGAGCGTGGCCACACGCACATAGCGCCTCCGGGTGCTCATGGCAGCAACGGACGTCCACGCTCCAGTCAGGGGGTCGTAGCGTTCGGCACTGTGGGCACCATGACCGCCGCGACTCAGCGGAGACGGAAGGTGCCCGGCCCCAGGACCTGCCCTCCCCAGCGCTGGAGGGCCCGCCGGTGGACACAGGCCCCGAGCTGCCTGGACAGCCCTGGTGTGCACCCGCCTGGGCCCAGCCTCTGGACTTGGGGTGAGGACCCTAGAGAGAAAAGGGCACTGGCCCAGCAAAGCCAGGAGCTCAGGCCCAGTGTGACTGTGACCTGGGATGAAGAGACCCCATGGACCCCCTTTAGCAGCCACAGTCAGACACGACCTCGGTGATGGTGACGTGGCCTCGCCTCCTGCAGTCGGACCCTGTAAAGCCACCGGGTCCCCAACTACTACCTGTTCAGGCAGGAGGCCCCGTCATAGCCGCCGGCCGAGTACAGGAGCCCGTGCAGGGCAGCCACACCCAGGCAGCTTCGCCTCGTGCCCATGGACACCTCCGGCTGCCACGTGTTAGTCACGGGGTCATAGGACTCCACAGTAGCCAGGTCTGAGGTCCCGTCGTAGCTAGCAGAACAGACCCATGCAGGTCAAGACCGGCCTAGCGGGCACGCACCAGACCCCTGACCCAAGTCCCGCCTCCAGGCTTACCCGCCCACAGCATACAGCCGGTTCCCCACCGCAGCCACGCCCACCCGGGCCCTGCGCGTGGACATAGAGGCCACCACATGCCAGCGGTCAGTGCGCGTGTCGTAGGCCTCACAGTCTCCGTGGATGGCAAACAGGCTCCCACCGCCTAGAGAAAACAGGTAGAGATGGGACTTGTAAGAGGACCCACTGATGAGCCAGAGCCTAGGCTCCTGGGGAGGCCCCTGGATGGAGGAGTGGTGGAGCAGCTCAGGACCTGACCGGCAGACATGGAGTGGGCTCGTGCTGGTAAGGCAGGCGGAGAGGGAGCGGGGCCATACCCACGGCGAAGAGCACTGGGCCGGCCCCCTCGCAGCGCCGGGGCCGCGTGCGGCTGGTGCCCAGGACGCCCCTCTGCTCCGGCAGCAGGTGGAACTTGAGAGCCTCGATGAGGAGGTCCTTGCAGTCGGGGTGGTGCCTCACCAGGCTCTCGGCATCCACGTGGCCCAGCAGGAAGTCACGGCTCAGCAGGGGCAGCCGCACACACTTCATGAGCTGGGGCGCAGGGGGTGCCAAGGTCGGGCGGGACCCGTGGGTGCACTTGGCCCCAGGGTTGAGACCCCCCCCCCGACGCCCGTACCACCTGTGATGAATTCTTCTTCAGACAGGTACGGGTACCACCCCCATGGAGTCCCTGCACTCGGGGAAGGTCAGGGCGCACCGGACCCTCGGCCACCTGTATGCCTTCACAGACACTGTGGGAGCCCCCGGGGCTGGGCCTTACCCGTGGGACGTGCTGTCTGCGGGCGTCCACGTCATGTTTCACCCAGCTCAGGACAGCGCGGTAGACCTCCTCTTCTGAAGGCACGTTCAGGCTGTCGCTAGACACCAGTTCCAGCACCTGGAGATGAGGGTTCCCAGGCCTGAGATCTGGGGAGGGTCCCGTGTACCCAGGGAGCCCTGAAGATGCCTAGGAGGGAGGGTCGGGGATGGGGACTGGGTGCTCACACTGGGAGGGCCGAGCAGAGTCAGGAGCCACAGAAGTGGCTCCTGGGTGGCCTCTACCCAGATGGGACTTGGGCGCGCACGGCGGGCACTAAGGCTAACAGGCAGGGCTGCGTCACGGACACGATGGGGTCAGCAGTTAAAAGCAAAGACTTGGGTGGGATCAGGTTGAGAGTGAGGGCTGGGCCGCTGTTACCTGTTTCAGGGGCAGCAGCATGAACTCCTCGGTCTTGGCCACGTCCACGAAGTGCTGCAGCACGTACCTGTGGGCCGCCTTGAGCAGGTCGCTGCAGGAGTGCGCGTCGGCAAAGCCGCGGATGCCCAGGCAGTTGGAGGGGTCCAGCTGACTCAGCAGGAACTTGCAGCAGGCGTCGCGGACACCGTTCAGCTGCAGCAGGCTGGCGGCGGGGAGCAGCGTCTGCGCGCCAGGGAGGGTCGGGTGAGGGAGGCACGGGGCGGGCGGCGGGAGGGTCCGGTGCGAGGCCTCCGCAGGGCCCGAGCCAGGCAGCCTCACCTGCACGTTGCCCTCGCCCACCACGATCTCCGCCGTGTACGCAAACTGCACCAGCTGGTCCAAGGCCTGAGGGTCGATGTCGTGCAGCGTCACGTGGGTCTGGCGGCTCTCGCTCATCTCATCTGTGGGGACGGAGGGTCAGGGGGCCGACCCGAGGGGCCCACCGAGCGCACAGCGCCGCGCAGGCCGCGCAGAGCGGTACTTGCTTGTGAACATGGCGTGGAAGTACGGGCTGCAGGAGGCCAGCACCACTTTGTGCGCGCGGATCTCCTTGGCGGCCACGTGCAGGACGATGTCGCACAGGAGGCCGCGCTGGCGCATGCGGCTCATGGCCACGAAGGCGTCGTGGTAGTGGCGCTTGGAGTTGTGGGCCACGCTGTGGCCCTCGCGGCTCAGCAGCTGCACGGCGCCCTCCATGGGGGCTGCGGGCCGCGCCTGCCGGGGCCGCGCGCGCTCCGCCTCCGGGCTGCGGGGGGCGGGGGCGGGTCAGGCTTCGCCCCTCCGGAGCCTCTGCGCCGGAGCGGCAGCGCGCGGGACCCTGCCCCAGGTGCGGCGGGCGCGCCGGCAGCCCTCGCCCGACCCCGCCCGGGACCCCGCGCGCGCGCCCCGCCCCGCTCCCCGGGCTCCTCCGCGCCCCAGGCCGCCCTCTCGGGCCCGCAGCGGGAGCCGCCGCTCCGGGGCGACCCCGCTCAGCACCCGAGTCCCGACCTCCCCGGGCCCTTCTGCGGGCGGACGCGGGGGCCGGGCCGGGCAGGTCCCCCCGCACTCACGCCGGCGGCTGCGGCGGTGGCGGCGGCGGCGCCTCGGGCCCGGGCCCCGGGCTGCCGTGCTCCGGGCTCTGCGTTCTGCCGGCCGGGCGCTCGCTGCGGGGCTGCATTCGGCCGCCGGACCCGCCGCGGATGCGCGGAGGACACGCAGGCGGACAGACGCGGGGACGGCCGGAGGGCTGCTCGGCGGTGGCGGCCCGCTAAGCGTCGCTCACTCCGGCGGCTCCCGCCCGCAGCCGCTGTTTCTCGGCGCCGCCCGCCCCGCCTCCCGAGAGGCTTGGGGTTCTCGACGTTGGACGCCTGTCCCCCCGAGCGCAGCGCCTCGGGTCCGCCTCCTCCTGGGAGAAACCACCAGGCCCCGCCCTCCTCCTGGGAGAAACCACCAGGCCCCGCCCTCCTCCTGGGAGAACCCCCCCAGGCCCCGCCCTCCTCC